ACTTTAAGATGTGTGGACTTAACTTTAAGATGTGTGGACTTCAACTCCCAGAATTCCCCAGCCAGGATTCCCAGAATTCCCCAGCCAGTCAGTAACTTTAAGATGTGTGGAGTTAACTTTAAGATGTTTGGACTTCAACTCCCAGAATTCCCCAGCCAGCATGGCTGGCTGGGGAATTCTGGGAGTTGAAGTCCACACATCTTAAAAGTTGCCAAGTTGAAAAATACTGGCTTAGAGTAATGTGTGAACTAGCCAAATGTAGCTTGCTCAATATACACCGCTTAGGCAACCCATAGTTTTGCATACTGGGTTAACCCAGTTACTAACTAAACTTTGTTAAAGTGACTTTTTTTACAAAGTTAGGGTGGGGTAATGGAGAAATTGTACCTATATTATGCTTTGCGGGTTTTTAAAATGCCTTTGTGTTTAATGGATGCATGGCGCAGTTTGCAATCTAAAACAGAACGCTAAATTGCCGAAAACCTCAACAATCCAAAAAGTCACGGAAGCTGCAGGAACGGAGTGTTTGAAATTTGCATGTCACTTTTCCTGTGCTTTTTCCTTTTCCTTATCAGAGCCGTGTGGCTTTCGAAGACGTGGCTGTCTATTTCACAGTGAGTCAGTGGTCTCTGCTGGGTCCAGGCGAAAAGGCTTTATATCGGGAAGTTATGCAAGAAAATTACAGGAACGGGGCCTCTTTAGGTAACAACTCCGATTCCCATCCTTGAATTGGAAAAGACCCTGTTGATGCGTTGCTGTGGTTGATTGAGGAAAAGTTAACTGGCACATTTTGCATAACATGCTAACCGGAGAAAAACGAACCACGTTGGTTGGGTTCATACAACACACTGAACTGCAAAGGAGCCTGTTTCCAGTTTAGTGTGTTGTGTGAACTGAAATAATGGGGCAGAGGCAATCAATTGTACTGAAGGTAATAAAAAAGAATATCTGTAGCTCGGGGTTGAACTGTGGAGTCCTTGGTGCTCTCTGAGCTTGGTCATTTGTTTGCAGACATTTCATTACCCAACTAGGTAACATCATCAGTGCGAGTGAGGGTGGGGTTCACTCCCTGTTTATATACAGTGGCTTGCCAGTGTTGGTGGGGGTGTGGTTTTCTCCTTGGTAGTTCCTTGATTAGGGTGTTGTTCTCTGCTTGTTTGTTTGTCTGGTGTCAATCCCTGCTTATCTGGGTGGTGGCTGCTGGAGAGGATGTGTTCTGCTCTTTTGTTTCCTTCTTAGCTTTTTTAGTTTATATACAGGCAAGCTACTGTATATAAACAGGGAGCAAACCCCACACTCACTCGCAGTGATGACGTTACCTAGTCGGGTAATGAAATGTCTGCAAGTAAACAACCAAGCTCAGAGAGCACCCAGGACTCTGCCATTGGGTAATCTAGCCTTACAGACCCAGCAATTATGGCTGGGTGTGATGGATACCACAAGGTGATCTCCTCCGCTCTCCTCAACCGTTCGCGTCTACAATTCATTTTAAGGGATGCTACCAAAGCGAGCAACATCCAGATGTTTGTGGGGAATGCTTCCACTTCAACCAAAAACTATCTCCCCCAGGATGCTGATGAGAAGTTTTAGGGTGTGAGCATTCTCCAGCCGCTGGCATTGAGGTGCATTGCCTTCCATGGGCCTCCCATTAAAGTGACATGCCCTGCATCATTTGTGATGTCATTGTGCTTGTACCAGACACCTGGTTTAGACATGGCTTAAAAGAAGAGAGAGAAATAAAAGGCAGCCCCCCCCCCAAAAAAAACCCAGGAAAAGAACAGAATCTGAGCCCTTCCCAAATAGATGAGATTCTTCTGCCCATTTTGCCTGGTTGCCTGGCTCCAGTGGCTTTTGCTCCTCCTATCAAACTTACCCCTCCTTACCCACGAACGGATGGGCAAATATGTTTCATGAACTCTGCCCACTGCGGTTTATCCACAGTCTGTTTTACAACCCATTACATGCACCTCTTCTATCCTCAAACAGGTTTTTTTGTGATCAAACCCAAGTTGATCTCTCAGCTTGAGCATGAAGAAGACCCCTGCATTCCAGACCAGCTCTTTGGGGTGGAAAAGGAGACTGTATTAGATACTGACCCAGGTGAGGGGAAAGAGACTCTGCTCATGGGTCTGTGAGTTTAATAAATCAAGTCCCCACCTTGGTGAGTCTTTGGCTGTGCATCCCTCTTTCTCTTTCCCCCTTGCACAGAATCTCCTGATGTGATAATAAAAGTGGAACAAGAGGAAGAGCCATGGGTCCTGGAACACCAGATGTATGTGGACAACGAAGCCCTACCAGAGACCAGTTCAGGTAAGGAGAATTGCTTTAGATGCACCTCCCGCTTCAGTTTTGAGGATGAAATCAATTAGATGTTTTCATCCTCAATCTTTACCCCTCAACCATTCTTCTACTAAGATATTGGACGGGTTTGCACATTGTTCTTGGCCGTGGTTCACCACATCTATCCTAGAAAACCTGCCACAAAGTTGGATGGTGCTTGTAGACCTCCCCAGAGTTAATGACAGCTGTTTTTACTTACTATGGGAGGGTCTGCAGGCACCATCTAGTTGCATTGCAGGTTTTTCTGGTGCTTGGGGGCATCACGCTGTGGTATTGAAAGATATCTCTCGAGATTGCCAAATCTTGCCAGGTGGAGAACTGGACGGGTGAGATCGCTGAAAGCACAAGATTGAGCAGTGGAGCCTCATGTCTGAAAAGGTTGCTCCCCCCACCACTGTGTTGAGATGTGGTGTGGGTTGTTTGGGTTAGCAGGCTGCATGAACCAATAGCAAGCCAAACGTAGTTTATTCCGCAAACCACCATTAAGCATTTCATTAAAGTCCACACATCTTAAAGTTGCAGAGTTTGAAAAACTAGGCCAAAATGGTTGCTAATTTATTGTACTTTACTTCCAACGCAGAGTATCATAACTGACCACCTAATGCCTCTTTACTGCAGGACATTTTGACACTGTAATAAAGGAAGAGGAGCCGTGCATCCTGGATCACTGGGGATCTGAAAAAAATGCCCAGGTTGAGAAGTCAGGTGAGGGAGCAATTTGTCTATTGGGGAATTTTGGGGATTCTGTGGACTCTGTCTAGAAGTGAGAGGGGTGCTCTGATCTCTTGGTGGACATGGCTGATCCTTGATCTCTAAGCACAGTGCCTCCCAAGGACCCAAATTCCAGCCCCATAGCGGGCCCCTTATTATATTTTACTCCTTAACTGGGCCATCAATGTACCTGAACTGGGCCATCAATCAATACTGACCATTTTACAGTTGTTTCATTCTGCATCCCACACAAAATACTTGCTTTCAAGTCACTTTTATGTATGTGTCTACCAACAATATAGAAAAACATTAAATCTTACAAAACGTAGCAATCATACTTGATTGTCTTCCTTAACCTTTGTTATATCTTTTAAAACAGAGTTTCCTGGTATAATAATCAAATTGGAGCAAACAAAGGAAATGTGGACTTTGGCTTCTGAGGGCAGTACAATTGTCTCAGATATTCAGACAGGTAAGGAGTTGGTCAGGTGAGCCACAATCAATACTGTCTGTGTTTACTACAGACAGTAGTAGTATTAGTCGGTATTTTCAACTAATTCATGAGCACACTGGTTTAATAAGAGCAAAACAAACTGATCTTTAAAAGAAGTGTCTGAGTTCTGACTATAGTCAGTAGTATGGCTTCTTAGAGTCCTATCCTTATCAGCTCCATCTTAGCTGTTCATATTCTACAATTGTTCTTTGCCTCTTGTCTTCTCAATAAATTGCCTTCCATTCCATTCCATTCCATTCCATTCCGTTGCATTCCGTTGCATTCCGTTGCATTCTGCTGCATTCCATTCCATTGCATTCCACTTCACTCTACTCTGTTGCACTGCGTTCTACTCCATTCCGTTGCATTACATGGGATTGCATTCCGCTCCACTCCACTCATGGGTTTATGGGCTGCTCCAAAAGCTAATGACTTTGAGTGGCATTCCCAACATTAATAAATCAGGTTAAAAACAAATGTATAAAAGAAAGACCAAAACATCTCAACATAATCTGACTTGTAGTTCAGATTCTTAGAGATGTAGAACTTTTAAAGAATTCATAGCCATGGATACAACAGGAATCTTTACATCTTCTCGGCAAACCATGATATATACTTTATATCGTGAGATACATGAAAAGTATCAGTCTGCTGTCAGTCAGGCTGCTAGGTAATTGTACAGTCAGGAATGCCTGAATGTTATTAAATGTGACTTTTAGTGAACCACTGCTATTCATAAATGACAGGCAAAAAATATTATGGAAATGCTCTTGAATACCTTGAGAGAAAAAAAATCCAAGCAAATGACTATACTACATGTAAATAAGCATAAAATATTATTGGCATAAGATGGTCATCACTTTCCAGACAAAACAGAAGGTGCCTGGAATATAAAACCCAGAAAAGCAGTTTACTTCTATTAATAAATCTGATTTGTCTTAGCTGATCACCTCAACTTCCTATGGAAACGGGAAGTGTTAATAAATTATCATTTTTGGACTGATTCTTTGGCCTGAATGCCATTAGTTCTCTTGCCTGAATAACAGCAATTTTGGTAGAGTGTGCAGTAAAGTGATAGAGTGAATATAAGGCTTATTAAATTTGGTCAGAGCATCTTCATTCTCAAAATTCTCTGTTTGTCTGAACAGAAAATGGGCGTGTGAAAGAGGAAAATGACCTCTTACTAGGATGGACACACAAAAGGACAATGGATAAAGCACCATTTGGAGTTTCCCCTGGCAGAATTTCTCATTATTTAAAGAAAAGACGTATCTCTCTGGATGAAAGCAGAGCAGAGAGGTATTCCAGAAATGTTTTGAGGAAGAGAGTAAAAAAGGCCTTATATTGTGTAGGAGGTGGCCTCACTGATCTCAAACTCCAGAACAGAATTCACAAGCCCAGGAGATGGCTTCAGGAAGAAGAGGAACCTTATAAATACTTAGATGGTAAGACGAGAACTGGTTGGAGATACTATTTAATGAACCACGGAAAAAGCCGTACAGGAGAGAAACTTTATACGTGCTTAATGTGTGGGAAAAAATTCTTTCAGAAGTCCCATCTCATTAGACATAAAATCAACCATGCAGGTGAGAGACCGTATAAGTGTTCAGCCTGTGAGAAAAGTTTCAGTCAAAGATCCCATCTCATTAGCCATGAAAGGAGACATACGGGGGAAAAACCGTTTGCGTGCTCTGTCTGTGGTAAAAAACTGAGTCGTAAAGCACTCCTCGTTAGACATGAAAGAATACATACAGGAGAAAAACCCTATCAGTGCTCTCTGTGTAATAAAAGCTTCTCTCAGAGTTCTGGCCTTACTGCACATGAGATCACCCACAGAGGAGAAAAACCACATGCGTGTTCTATCTGTGCAAAACGCTTCAGTCGCAAAGCAAGTCTGGTTAGACACGAGCGAATTCATCTGGGAGAGAAACCGTACCCTTGCCCCATCTGTGGCAAGACGTTTAGCCAGTGCTCGGGTCTTCTGCAGCACGGAAGACTTCATACAGGGGAGATTCCCTATAAATGCTCGATCTGTGGAAAAAGCTTCAGTCGTAAAGATTGTCTTCTGGGACATCAGGGAACTCATACAGGAGAAAAACCATATCTATGCTCAGTCTGTGGGAAAGGTTTTAGCTGGAAAAGTTACCTGGCCATCCACAAGAGATGCCATAAGGAAGAAAAATTATATATATGCTCAGTGTGTGGGAAAAGCTTCAACCAAAGATCCAATCTTCTTAGTCACGAAAAGACTCACACCCAAGAGAAAACCTATACGTGCTCCATCTGTGGGAAGAACTTCATTCACAAAGTCAGCCTTATTAGACATGAGCGAGTCCATACAGGAGAGACACCCTATAAATGCTCCGTCTGTGGGAAAGGGTGCAGCGGGAGGACTAACCTGATTTCACATGAAAGAACTCACACCCAAGAAAGGCCTTACCCGTGCACGTTCTGTGGGAAAAGCTTCAAGCAAAGATCCAACCTCACCAGCCATGAAAGAACCCATACTGGAGAAACTCCGTATACGTGCTCAATCTGTGGGAGAAGCTTCAGCTGTAAAGCCAACCTTCTCGGACATATGAGAACCCACACGGGGGAGAAGCCATATTCATGCTCAGTCTGCGGGAAAAGGTTTGGTAATAAATCCCAGGTGGTTATTCATGAAAGAATTCACACTGGAGAAAAACCCTACACCTGTTCGATCTGCGGGAAAAGGTTTAAGCACAGAACAAGCTACACGGAACATCAAAAAATCCACACCCAGGAAAAGCCATACACATGTTCTGTCTGCGGTAGAAAGTTCAGCCGTAAGGAACACCTGGTTATTCACGGGAGAATCCACACAGGAGAGAAACCGTATTCGTGCGGGGACTGTGGGAAAAGTTTTAAGCAAAAATCGAGTCTTACATCCCATGAGAGAAGCCACACGGGAGAGAAACCGCACACATGCTCTGTCTGTGGGAAACGTTTCAATCGAAGGTCAAACCTCATTCATCATGAGAGAATCCACACAGGAGAAAAGCCACACTCGTGTCCAGGTTGTGGGAAAAGTTTCCGGAGCAAAGCGTACCTGAGGAGACATGAAAAAATCCATACTAGATGAAAAAGTCCCTATGCGTAACTTCTGTCTACTCCAGGAACATCTGCAGAGGAGGATGCAGGGAGGCAAAGGTCAAAAGCAGAATCATGCTGCGAACTCCACGCCGTTTCGATGCGCATCATGACTTTGCATGTATTACAGGCAGGGTGGAACATGTGACATGATGGCACAATGTTTTTGCCATTTTGATGAAATCCTCCAAACCTGTGGACCTCTCTGAACCTCTCCACATGTATCGCACTGAACGCATCACATAGCAAAAAGACTTTTAAGGAACAAGTGATATAATAGTCGCTTTTAGAGGTAACACTAAACCACAGTTTAGTGCAGTGTTGTCCAAACTTGGCCACTTTAAGATGAGTGGACTTCAACTCCCAGAATTC